TAGGTAGCGCGGTGTGTGATCGTCGCTCGGAATGAATGACATTAAATTTAACGCAGCCAATTTGTCGGGGGGCGCACGCACCGTCGAGTCCCGTCGTGTGGGCGCACGTGGCGCATTTCCGGATGCATCGGCGAGCCTTTGCGCGCGCGAGTCCCGCTGCAGCCGCGCACACCTACGCGTGTCCGCGCTCTGAAACCTCAGATACGTGCGCAGGACGAAACGCAGCGGCAAAGCACGGTCCCCCGTGCAAACACGTAGGTATCATTTGAGGGGCATTCGATGTGCCGCATAATATATGGACTGCGGCATGACGCCCGTCGTAATTGATTGTAGCGCCCTGCGGTTTGGCACCCGCTGGTCGGAAGCGTTCGCAATTACTACAATGCAATCGCGCAAAGTTAATGGTAAAATATTCATTTCCGGCGTAGCATAATTCCCCGGGCCTCGGCGGGGACGCTCGAATCCATTCTCGCGACCGTTCTCGCGACCCGAGGACTTCCTCCACGAAATTCCCGGGCCGGAAGCGGGACAGCGCGCGCGCGCGAACCATGTGCTTCCTTGAATTTTGATAGGTCGATTACCCATCGCAAGCTATTATAACGCGACCCCGGTAATTCCACTCGCCTCTGCCGGATCCTCCTGGAACGAGAGGAAAAAGCTCGCTACGAGTCCGGGGGAGCTGGGAGACTCCGTTGATGTACCCAGGAAATGTTCCAGGAAGTGTAACAATTTATGTTTTGGACGAAGCACGTGTGCCGAAGGTGCAGCAGTGCTGATCTAATGTAAGTTGCGACCCGATTTTATCAATCAATTTTATAATGCAATATATAGAGAGTGAACAAAATATCACTTTGAATATTTCACTTGTTTTTGATAATGTGGAAAATTAAATATTTTTTGGTTTGATGGGGAAAATGCTGCGATCAGGATCTTTATGTAAAATAAAAGTGTTCTGTATCGATAGTGAGGCACAGAAAGTAAACGAATATGTCTTTCTTCTTTTAATAATTTCAATGAGATTAAATCAATACATTAATATTCTTAAATATAATAATAATAATAATAATAATAATAATAATAATAATAATATAATAATAAATATAATATTCTTCTCTTTTGTTTCAAATTCGGTGCACCAATTTTTGTCGAGTCGTACAATTAATTTATCGTGCATACAATTTACATTTGACGTACGAATTTTTGCCACGGCGAAAGAGAAAAATCTAAAAAAATTAATTGTTGCCGTGTACGCTCCTCTTTATACCGAACAACTTCGGTACGGAATATTTTCCATGCGTACAGTTTGCAAGAAAAATTAAGGTGAAACAGTTGCACGGCTCACCGCGTATTTTAAACACGGTGTAATTTCTCCATTCGATAGAAACTTCCATACGGAAAGCTTGTATTTAGACGAGCAACGAGAGAAGCGCAGACATGATGAAACTGAAGCAGGATCAAAACGATCCGGCATCCGTCACGCGCGGGTTAATGGCTCTCCTTTTTACCGCGGCGAAAGTTGAAATTTCGCCGAACAAACTTGCTAGTATTTTTCAAACACGGTAATGCACTGTGCAGCTTGTTACGCGGGGTTTGTTTCGAAATGTTTGCACCGCCGCGCCGTGGAAGAGGGCGCATAGACGTTAAACGAAAATGTAAACCCGGCAGGAAAATTTCGAGATTGAAATTAAATTTGCACTGCGTCCGTCGAACATTTTCTATTAATTTCGGCCTCGCCGGCGGAACGGAGATGAGAACAGATACACACACACGCGCGCGCACGCGCGCATACGATCTAGACGCGAGATCTTCTGCATAGAAAATAAAAGATTCGCGCTATCTATTATTTCCGCGGATAAAATGGAACGCGCTGTTCCGCTCTGAACGAATAAACACGCGTCTAAATAATTGCTGTGGCACACAGGCGTGTGCGCGCTCTTTCTGTAGGTCGTTTGTTATTTCGAATAAAATCGTGACTGCGCCGACACGTGGAAGCAAAGCGATCATTAAACTAATATACGCAAAGTATAGGCGACACGTCAGTTTGAAAAATGTTCGTATTTCATGCTCTAGTCGCTAATCATTTTCACGCGTCTCTATTATCAACGTGTCACAGAACATGATGCGCAACATTAGTCATCGTATCCGCCGTACGTTTCTCCTCGCGTTCGAAAACTGCTCGTACATGGTAGATAGTAGATCACGATACGCCGCATATTAATCTCGAATATTCTTGCACATTAGCAGATTTTTCATTCAGTCGCTATTATTATCTCTAATCGTGCATTGATCAGAGACATTTGTATTTTCGGAATTCAATTCGATCGCAATTTAACGTCCATTCAGTGTTCTAAACGCGAGTGTAAAAATAATTAATGTTAATGTACATATCCCATTACTATGACTGTAATAGTATACGAAAATTATCAGCATCGACTAAAATGAAATGTTACAATAGAAGAAATATCTGCTTTTTATACTATTTCTTTGACTCTTTATGTTATATTCGTATTATATCAATGCCATTCAGATCGTACTACTTCTATTTACATTCTATTATTATCATAAAAAGATCGTAGCGAATTCAATTTTTCCTAAATACCATTAATTAAACGATTTTGATGTACGGAGTAAATATTTAACATTTGTCTTGATATCAAATTGACACAATGGTAAAAAATGAATAAGATGAAACATTATGTAATTAATTTCGTAAAACCCATCTTTAACCAGTTAATTATACTGTACAAGTTGGATGTTCCTCATATTTTATTTAAATACAACACTTTTGTAAAATATATAATTTAATGAAGAATGTCAAAGTACATATCCTTCTTAACAAAGTTGTTACATACATTCGTTGAAAATTGCTAATTGGTTAAGAATGAAAAGCTAAGATGTGAGACAGGTTTTAACGTTTTCAACAGGCTTTTTAACAGGTTTTAACTGATAAAGCGATCCATAGAACCGATTACAACGAACAGATTATTTCCTCGGTATCCGTAAAAACTGTCAAATTGACACGAGGAGCGGATGAGAGTTCAAGTGTTCAAAATCGCTGCACACTGCCACTATGCTACGACGATATGCTCGACAAAAGTTTCTATTTTGACGATAGCAATCTGCACAGAGTAATTATTTCCTCGTTCATTTCCTGGAGAACGATTCCAGAAGGCGCTCCATTTTTCAGCGATTCCGCGACACAGTCCCCTTGGGAAATAAATCCGAAATTTCAATTTGCCGGGGGAAGATGAATTCGTCGGCGGATTTCTGAAACAATCGGCGGCTCGGAAGCCGCGGCGAATAGTTGTTTGACATGGTGGGCAGCGGTAATCTTTGCGCAACGGTGAAATAAGGGCCGTTATTTTTCGGCTGCTTGATTGAGATTTAACGGCTGCGATCGGGCGTATACGGTGTTAACTGGGAAATTAGGTCGGTTGTAAATAACGAAATATCTGACGTCGTTACGGTAGTAAATAAGAGAATACACCGATGACTGTCGACAAATAAAAAGAAATATTTGATACCTGCCGTTCCGCTATGCCATTGCGACTGTAATCCGGCGCGGGCCGCATGATACACGGCGGACCTGCCGCGGCATCATCGTAGCGCCGTTTCAAATTTTAAGCCGAGCCTCGATTCAGTGTCAACCAATTACCACCGGCGAATTGACATTAATCCGTAGTTTAATGCGCGGATCAATTTTCGGCCGGTGCAGCTGCGAGCGCAGATTCTTCGGGGCGGCCGTTCCATTGATGTTTGCCGCGGCAAATAAATGTTCCTCGACGCGCGCAAATAGCCTCCAATTTATGGGAATATGTTTGACCCGCGCGAAAACCCCGAAAAGAATCGGGATTCGATTAGGAAAGCTAACACAGTCGCGACAAAATCGGAAAAATAAACAGATTTAGCTCACGGTGAGACTGCGCCAGTTAATGGCGGAACGCTCGATCGTGCGACAATTTTTCGAATAACGCGCGCATTCGCCTAATTAACAGTTCGTTTAATCTGAAATTGAGCCATCATCGTTTTGCCCGGACGCTGGCACAATTTTTTTAAAAATTTCTGCAGCTTCGCGGTCACTCTTCGATGCAGTTTTTCGATGCGCTACTGTCCTTTTTTTACAGATCTTACTCCGGTTTGTATCAACTTTTCCCTGAATAGAATAGAAATTTACATTGACATTGTCGAAAATTCTGACTTATGCTTTAAAATGTAATCTATACGCGCGAAAATGTCAAAAAGACACGCGAAATAAATCCTAAAGTTACTACAAATTAACTTGACTCTAAATTATCGTGACAATAAATTTGTGTAAATATTAATAAAGATGATAATACTGCAAAATTTTGAAGCATTGTTATTTAAAAGATTTGGAAGAATCCAGGATGTGTTGGTGTACTAATTTCAACTTGTAATTATTAAATAAAGAAAGAAAATCGTGCATGGTTCATTTGTCCTCTAATGAGAACGCAACAAATTCTTATTTCGCACAAAGATCCGCAGACTACCCGTTAAAAATACTCATCTTTTTCGGAAAAGCCTAAAAGCTGTTGCGAATTTCACTAACTACCGCATCTTGCTCAAAGATCCTCGGTAATTAGCAGAAAAGCTGGAGATTGCAAAGCGTTCGTGCACGAGGAGACGCCGATGCACTATCGGAGAAGTCCATCGAGCAAGTATCGAGAGCCATCTCCACATGTGGAACACCGCAGTTAGGGTACGAAACAATGAAGCGCGCCGCGAGTGGAGCCAGAAGGCAGACTTATTAGGACGAAACTTGAAAATCGCGAAGTAGCTGGGGCACGTCGGGGCGCAGCTTACGCGGAATGACTTTACGAGACGGCGACGACAGCGTCGTCGGCGTTCAACGTTATGTAAAGTTGGCTGATTTATGCGCGACAGAGTTGGCCCACGAGGCAACACGAAGGATTCCGACGTAAGTTTAAACGCTTCTGTCGCGGCCGCCCCTCGTCGAACGAATAGTTGCCGGTGAAGTTTCGAGCGGCGTTATGGCCGCGTGCACCTGCAGCCGTGCCACGCGAGAGCGGGGATTTCGAATCTTGATTAATGCGCCCCTGAATCTCGCACCTCGGATCCCGGACCCGCAGAAAAATCACGCCACCAATCCGGAACGCTCGAACCAGTCAACAAATCCAATTCGCGAAGCCAAGACAAACGATTCTTTCCGCTCGATCGACTCTGAAATTAAATCGTGTCAGGAAATCAAGTGAGAAAAGAATGATTTCGCGTTGGGACATTTTTTACTACGAAGTGGTAAGTAGTTTATATTCTTCGCTATTGCGAAGAATAGAAGAGTAAAAGCATTAGACCGGTGACGTTGTGTAGTGAAATCTTCAAAAAATGTAGAAATGCAAAGAATTTTCAGAAAAGACATTTTCTATTTGCGCGCAAGTGCGCAGAGATGATAATTATTCCGTGAAAATCGTGGATCGGCTTTGTCGTGGTCGACGAAGATGAACAAGCAAAGGGGCAAAAACCGGCTCGTTGGTCGGCCGGGAAATTTAATATTGTCTATTGCGCTATTACTAAACATGGCCGCGTTCAAAAATACCGTCCGCATCGCCGATTTTCCGCGCGAAACGCCTCGCCGCGGCCTGAAAACAGAGTTGCCGGCCGGCGCGGCGGATTAAACGCGTGTTTGATTTCGAAATTGTGGTCAAACGAGCAGCCGTTCCTCTGTAACTCGCTCCGGTTAATGGTACTCGGTGCATTATTTAAGCGTCGATAATTCAAACAAAATGACAGTATATTTGCGAGCACACGGCGCGCATCAATCGGCCCGGAAAATTGATATCGTTAAGGGGAAGAGAGAGAGAGAGAGAGAGAGAGAGAGAAAGAGAGAGAGAGAATGGGAAACACGCCCCTAGATGAACTCTTCGTGGCACACAAATTCCGCGTGTCGAGTGCCATGCTCGGAACTGTATAGGCTAAAGTTGCACCTCTCCTAATATGGGACTCCAGCTCATTTCCGTTATAGATGTCCCGAGTGTTGCATCGATTTGTTACTTGTTAAGAGAGAATTGTGCATTGGCAGTCGATTAAGCAAGAATTACAATATAACAAATATATAAGGCAAAAATATAATATAATATATTTATCTAAAGTAACTTTTCGTAAGTTTTAGGCAACATATTATAAGCGAAAAGTAAAGATAATAATATCCATAATGTGATTTACTTGGTAAATAATTAACTTAATAATTAAACTTAATAATATTATATAATATATTATAATTAAAAAAAATTATATTATATAATTATAATATATTTATATATTATATATAATTATATTATATAATAATATAACCTTAACTTAATAATTAACGTTACAAAAAAAAATAGTTTTAACGTTATGTACACAAGAAAGAATTCATTCTAAGAGATTCCAAATAATTCACGGGCCAATACTCAAATTAGAAGCTATATAACGAAATTCATTTCTTATCTAACTACTGCTCCTATTATTATAATGCTTTGAAACCACATTTTCAGTTTTTAAACCATTAAGAGCATGCTGATTTTGATAGAAGAGAAATATGATTATCAAAATTTAAGTAATTTTTAAAATAATTGTAAAATAGAAAATATGGTAGATTGTGTCAGGAAACATGCCATCGAAACGCCATGCCACCATTTCCATAATTTTTTTCCAAATTTTTTTCACTGTGTATCGTTGACCTTTTCGTTTACGGTTTCGTTCACAGTTTCGTCGACGTTCGAATTTTGCACCGTATATATACTACACTCTTCCCTCTGCTCGTAACTCTGTTTTGGAAATGATTAAATAGCATTCTCTAATTACTGGAACATATCGTGTCTAACTTGTGTAGTTAAGCGTTGTCAAAATCGAAACCCCATTCGGTTATCTATACCATACTCTATTCTGCGTAATCCGCTTTAATCTGCCTATTACGCGTATTTCAATCCGCGATTCGTATCAATTACTCTTCACCTTGATGATGGCGCCATTTGCGGAAGGTAAATGTTCTACGATCGTTGAACACTCGTCTAATTTTCGAATAATCGAAATAAATAAAATGTTTGAAAACTCGTCGATTATCGATACTGTACGCGAATGAAATTATCAAGTTCAATATGTACTTACGAAGCCGAGTTTTCAATAACCATGATTCGTTCCACAGGTTTCGAATACTATTCAGAAGCAATCAAACTAATGTTTCAATTAATGTAATTAAAATGTCTTCATTCTGTACGAATAGATATCGAAATCTGGAATGAGTACTTCGAGCTTTCGAAAAAGTGCTTCGAAATATCTTGAAGAATCTTGAAAATCAGAATTCTGTAACAATTTTAACACTAAATTTACGGAGCACAAAAAACAGCTGTTTTAGATTACTTTACAAAAGTAACAATAAGACATTTATTCTGATTTTTAACAAGTGTTATTGTAACATTTGCCGTAAGTAACATATCAATTGAATAAATAACTCATAAATGTATCTTTACGATATGAATAATCATAAATTAAAAAATTAGTCACCTTTCATTTTAACGGGTTCCGTAAATCTTGNAAAAAAAAATAGTTTTAACGTTATGTACACAAGAAAGAATTCATTCTAAGAGATTCCAAATAATTCACGGGCCAATACTCAAATTAGAAGCTATATAACGAAATTCATTTCTTATCTAACTACTGCTCCTATTATTATAATGCTTTGAAACCACATTTTCAGTTTTTAAACCATTAAGAGCATGCTGATTTTGATAGAAGAGAAATATGATTATCAAAATTTAAGTAATTTTTAAAATAATTGTAAAATAGAAAATATGGTAGATTGTGTCAGGAAACATGCCATCGAAACGCCATGCCACCATTTCCATAATTTTTTTCCAAATTTTTTTCACTGTGTATCGTTGACCTTTTCGTTTACGGTTTCGTTCACAGTTTCGTCGACGTTCGAATTTTGCACCGTATATATACTACACTCTTCCCTCTGCTCGTAACTCTGTTTTGGAAATGATTAAATAGCATTCTCTAATTACTGGAACATATCGTGTCTAACTTGTGTAGTTAAGCGTTGTCAAAATCGAAACCCCATTCGGTTATCTATACCATACTCTATTCTGCGTAATCCGCTTTAATCTGCCTATTACGCGTATTTCAATCCGCGATTCGTATCAATTACTCTTCACCTTGATGATGGCGCCATTTGCGGAAGGTAAATGTTCTACGATCGTTGAACACTCGTCTAATTTTCGAATAATCGAAATAAATAAAATGTTTGAAAACTCGTCGATTATCGATACTGTACGCGAATGAAATTATCAAGTTCAATATGTACTTACGAAGCCGAGTTTTCAATAACCATGATTCGTTCCACAGGTTTCGAATACTATTCAGAAGCAATCAAACTAATGTTTCAATTAATGTAATTAAAATGTCTTCATTCTGTACGAATAGATATCGAAATCTGGAATGAGTACTTCGAGCTTTCGAAAAAGTGCTTCGAAATATCTTGAAGAATCTTGAAAATCAGAATTCTGTAACAATTTTAACACTAAATTTACGGAGCACAAAAAACAGCTGTTTTAGATTACTTTACAAAAGTAACAATAAGACATTTATTCTGATTTTTAACAAGTGTTATTGTAACATTTGCCGTAAGTAACATATCAATTGAATAAATAACTCATAAATGTATCTTTACGATATGAATAATCATAAATTAAAAAATTAGTCACCTTTCATTTTAACGGGTTCCGTAAATCTTGTGTTAAGTAACACATTATACACAGTGATCATATATTGAATTTTATTCATCGAATTTACAGCTATTTAGGAATAATATTTTATTCAGAATACTTGGCTCTAATCTCTTTCTTTTTTTCCATCAAAATACTTATAGTAGGTTGGAACTTATCTCATACAGATTCGAGCATATTCGAAAATGCTGTCTTTTCCTGACATAGTATTTACAAAGGGTTCGAACCCGCCGCATAGAAATTCGAGTATATGCACTTGCAATACACTTAATCCCAAATATATAAACAACGGAACAAAACCACGCTCTCTGTTTTCCTAGCAAAATATGCCAGCGGAATTTTATCTAAAAATGCAGGCAAGCAAACAGAAAATATTGAAAAGAAGTCGAGTGACGGGCGCGCGCATTTAGCCGGGAAAGATTTATAAAATCGCATGCACGTGTTTGATAATTATCGCACAGTTCCGCCTCATATTTCGTGGAACAGGTTCCGCGGGAATTTGGCGACAAACCGTGCGCTTTAAAAAACAGCGTCGATCAATATTGTTGTCGATTAATTCTGCTGTCAATAAAACCAGGTTTCGGTGAATTCTTGTCAAAATGGTATCGGCGGTAGGGCCGTGCCGGCGATTTCAATGTATCCAACCGGTCCCATAGTTCCGCGGAACGAAGGGAGATGGGTATCCCTAGGCGTGCCGCGGCTATGACACATTATGCGTCCTGTGACATCAACAGGGTCCGGCTCGGAGGCTTGTCAGAGTCTATTTTACGAGCGTGCTCTGCCGTTTTCGTCGGGCTATACTACCGCATCGTTGAATTACTTGGGTCACCGGCGACGTATGCGCTTCCTGTCTCCTGCCAAGCCAATCTCCAACCGAGTCTCGTCCCGGTTTTTTCCCGGTTTTTTTTCCCCCGGTCTTCTTCTCCTCCGGCCGCCAAGCCGGGAGGAACAGCCGAGATCCTATCTCTCTCTGTCTTCCGCCGCATTCGAAGCTCCTTCTCCTCTTCCAAGCCGGTCCGTTGCCTGGTAATTGGATCTCTCGATAGACCGAACATTTCGGCTAATGAACTGTAATCGCATTTCAATTTGATCAACCCGCCACGCCGCGCCGTTCCCCGTCTCGTGGCACACGGACACGGCATTCCACCCGGTATCCCGAAACATTTCGATTATTCGATCGGATATGTGGCTGATTTTTCATTCAGATCGGCCAGCGTTTCTCGGGATCGGCGGTTGTCGCGTCCGAGAACACGCTCACCGCGATCCTGAACACGGTCAGCCGTTTAATCCGGACGAAATCTGTTCGCTCGGCCGGCGGAATTCATCTGGATATCTTAGGATTGGTTTACTGGCCACTTTTTCACGAAATGATCATTTATTGTTAGGGTATCACGATTTTTTGAGAACGTTTCAACTATGTGATATCTATACATTTTTTTTGGTTCGGTCTCGTTTGGAATACTGCTCGGTCATCATCGTATCAAGTGTACCAGTGTGTGCAGATTTGGAGTATTCAGCACCGAGTTTCAC